AAAAACAAAGCAAAAGAAGGAATATACCATATTTATTGTTGATTTCCACATGGAATGGGTTAATGCATGTGTGTATCTAATTTCTGTCATTAATATTTTATCTTTTTTTTTTTTTTTTTTGGAGATGGAGTCTCACTCTGTCACCCAGGCTGTAGTGCAGTGGTGCGATCTTGGCTTACTGTAAGCTCCACCTCCCGGGTTCACGCCATTCTTCTGCCTCAGCCTCCTGAGTAGCTGGGACTACAGGCACCCACCACCATACCTGGCTAATTTTTTTTATTTTTTATTTTTTTGAAATGGAGTTTTGCTCTTTTTGCCCAGGCTGGAGTGCAATGGCACGATCTCAGCTCACCACAACCTCCGCCTCCTGGGTTCAAGCAATTCTCCTGCCTCAGCCTCCCGAGTAGCTGGGATTACAGGCATGCGCCACCATGCCTGGCTAATTTTGTATTTTTTTTTTTTTTAGTAGTGACGGGGTTTCTCCATGTTGGTCAGGCTGGTCTTGAACTCCCATCCTCAGGTGATCCACCTGCCTTGGCCTCCCAAAGTGCTGGGATTACAGGAGTGAGCCACCGTGCCCGGCTGATTTTTTATATTTTTAGTAAAGACAGGGTTTCACCATGTTAGCCAGGATGGTCTGTTGACCTCATGATCCACCCACCTTGGCCCCTCAAAGTGCTGGGATTACAGGCGTGAGCCACTGCGCCTAGCCAATATTTTGTCTTTTTAAGAACAGATCATTGGCTGGGTGTGGTGGCTCATGCCTGTAATCCCAGCAATTTGGGAGGCTGAGGCGGGTGGATCATCTGAGGTCAGGAGTTCGAGACCAGCCTGGGCAACATAGTGAAACCCTGTCTCTACTAAAAATATAAAAAGTAGCCAGGCATGGTGGCGGGCGCCTGTAATCCCAGCTACTCGGGAGGCTGAGGCAGAATTGCTTGAACCCAGGAGACGGAGGTTGTAGAGAGCTGACACGGTGCCACTGCACTCCAGCCTGGGTGACAGAGTGAGACTCCATCTCAAAAAAAAAAGATAAAAGAAAAAAAGATCAGTATTTTAATGTATATAAATGAGAAAGTATAAACATAGAAAAATCTAAATTAGTCAAGTAAACACAAATGAGGCTGCAGTGAGCTATAATTGTGCCACTGCACTCCAGCCTGGGCAACAAAGCAAGACCCTGTCTCAAAAAAAAAAAAAAAAAAAAAAGCAGCCTATGAATGTCTCTTTTTTTTTTTTTTTTTTTTTTGAGACAGGGTCCTCGCTCTGTCACCCGCGCTGGGGTGCAGTAGCACAATCTCGCTCACTGCAAGGTTCGCCTCCCGGGTTTATGCCATTGTCCTGCTTCAGCCTTCGAAGTAGCTGGGACTACACAGGCACCCGCCACCTCGCCCGGCTAGTTTTTCGTATTTTTTAGTAGAGACGGAGTTTCACCATGTTAGCCAAGGATGATTTCGATCTCCTGACCTCGTGATCCGCCCGTCTCGGCCTCCCAAAGTGCTGGATTACAGGCTTGAGCCACCGCGCCCGGCCGAATGTCTCATTTTTTAAAATAAAAGACAACCTAACCACTAGTCATTCAGAATAGCAATGGGAAACATAATAAAGTCCCATGTTCTACATTACAGTACATTGATAATTCAGATTCACATATTTGTCTGAAACGATCTTTCCTAAACTTCAAAAATCAAGGTTTTTATTTGAAAACAATTTTAGAGTATATGCAACTGCAATAATAATACAAAAAGATCCCATGTACCCTTGACCAAGTTTTCCCCAATACTAATTATCGTTGAAAAACGTACATCACAAGCATGATGTTGACATTGAATCAAGACACAGAACATTTCCATTACCACAGGATTCCTCATGTTGCAATTTTTTTTTTTTTTTTTTGAGATGGAGTCTCCCTCTGTCACCCGACTGGGTGCAGTGGCGCCATCTCAGCTCACTGCAAGCTCCCGCCTCCCGGGTTCACCGCCATTCTCCTGCCTCAGCCTCCCAAGTAGGTGGGCGGCTACAGGTGCCTGCCACTGTGGCAGCTAATTTTTTGTATTTTTTTTTATTAGAGACAGGGTTTCACTGTGTTAGCCAGGATAGTCTCGCAGATCGCTCCTGACCTCATGATCCGTCCACTCGGCCTCCCTGGATTTTTGACTATAATGGACACTTGCCAGAACATTTCATCCAGAGGCAGGAAAAAATACCACTCACAGAGAAGGGCTGCAAGAGACATTATGGAGAGAATCGTTTTTTTGTAAATACAAAATTTTACTCTGAATGTTTTTAAAGACATAATTGTGTGAAGGTACAACTCAAAGTCCAATAGAACAAATGTAGAAGAATTTCTTCGTGACCTTAAAAAATAAAAATGTTTCTTTTTTCTTTCTTTTTTTTCTTTCTTTTCTTTTTTTTTTTTTTTTTTGTTTTTTTTTTTTTTTTTTTTTTTTTTTTTTTTTGTTTGTTTTTTTTTTTTTTTTTTTTGAGACAGAGTTTTGTTCTTGTTGTCCAGGCTGGAGTACAGTGGCACGATCTTGGCTCACTGCAAGCTCCATCTCCCAGGTTCGAGAAATTCTCCTGACTCAACCTCCTGAGTAGCTGGGACTACAGGCACCTGCCACCACGCCCGGCTAATTTTTTTTTTTGTATTTTTAGTAGAGACAGGGTTTCACCATGTTAGCCAGGATGGTGTCAATCTCCTGACCTCATGATCTGCCTGCCTCAGCCTCCCAAAGTGTTGGGATTACAGGCGTGAGCCACTGCACCCGGCCTCATGTTGCATTTTTATAGCCACATCCACATCCCCCTTGACCTCACTCCCTCCTTAACCCCTGTCAATCACAAAAAGAGACTAAATTTCATGAACTTATTGACTGAATGAAACAAATTTTGGATTGCATAGCATGATACAAAATATGTAATGTTAAAAAATGTACACACAAGGAATTCTGTTCTTGACAGTATTGTTGGACAAATAAGCAAAAGACCTTCTAAAAAGACAGTAAGAAAAGGTCAACATATAATTCAGAGGATACACAGAGAAGGGAGAAGTGGGCAGAGAATGAGGGAAAGGAATATTTTAAGTGGAAATAGTTGAGAATTTTTGAGAATCAATGAAGGATGTGAATTCTTGGATTCAGGAAGTAAAAAATTAATCTCTGAAATATAAATATATATAAATCCACCCTACAATACAGTATTAATGAAGTCACTGGTTTCTTTCTGTCCAAATGATTTAAAAATTTTACCTGGAATATTCATGGAATACAAAAGAAAGTGGTAGCAGTGACTCATCCTACAAAGTATGGACTGAGATACCCAACCCAAACTAGCCCACTCTCCCACAGGCCAAAATCCAGACCTTCTTAGAAAGGGCAGAGACATGGTTCAGAATGGCAGAGATGTAGGACTAGCCTGGAAGTCAACCTCTTGGTAGACGGCAAAAGCCATCTTCAGAGAGATGCCACTACCTCTTATTACTTGCTGTGAAGCCACCCAAGTGCGTGTTAGAGGCTGGTCCTGCTGGGTGTCACACACTACAGGAGCCAAGGGCTACTGCTGCAAGCCCTACAGGAGCCTGACAAGAGTGAAACAAAGCTAAGAAGAGAAACAACCTCCTCCTCTAGTGTCCTCCCCACACTCTACTGGCAGAAATTAACATCATGCCAGGTCACAAAGGAGAAATGTTCACAGAACCCAGTTCCAATACTGCAGAGCAGGCAATGAAAGATTCGGAGCCGAGAGGCAGTAAATTGATGGTTAACACAAAGTTTTTAAATTCCTGGAATATATTAAAAAATGAAGTGGGCTGGGTGAAGTAGGTTACGCCTGTAATCCAAGCACTTTGGGAAGCTGAGGTGGCTGGATCACCTGAGGTCAAGAGTTCAAGACCAGCCTGGTCAACATGGTGAAAAACTGTCTCTACCAAAAATACAAAAAGTAGCTGGGCATGGCTGCACACACCTGTAGTCCCAGCTACTTGGGAGGCTGAGGCAGGAGAATTTTGAAACTCAGAGGTGGAGGTTGCAGTGAGCCAAGATTGGGCCACTGGACTCCAGCCTGGGCGTGTCTCAAAAAAAAAAAAAAATGAAGTGGGCCAAATGTGGACTTACGATGAGAATGTGTAATAAATCATGTATTATGAATAACCTACTTTTGTCCAAAAATTTATGAAATTTACATGAAATATTCCTGTTAGAATAAAAAGAAACTGCTAGCAGTTGTTGCACCTGTGGAGAGAAGGTGAGTGCCTACAGAACTGGATGTTAGGGGAGAATTAATTTTCACATTTTTGGTAATTTTTGAATTTTATAATGTGTGCTTCTATTAAACAAAAAATTTAGAAGGTTTTAAAAAATAAATGTGATGCCAAAATACATACGCCAGATACTCTTTAATCCCACTGTTGGGAATCTGCACAACAGAAACAAAAGAAGGTAAAACTAGAGTTCCAGGTGAACATTAGAAACAACTTGAATGTCTGTAGTAGGTAATGGCTCAAAATACAGACACATTCCATTCTAGAAATATTCTGAACCTTACAAAGAATGGGTTACATCTTTATGTACTGACCTGGAAAAGTATTCATGATTATTGTGAAAAGGACAAGATGCTGTCAAATGTCCGTATAGGGGGTAAAATCTCCTCCAAACACATGCAACAAACACTTTCTGTGTACAGGCTGTTTGAGTATAAAGGAAGAAGAAATACACATACTGGTTATCGCAGAGATTTGTGGGAGGAGAGGAAATTGTTTTCATTTTATTTATGCTATATTTCACTGGTTTCAGTGAAACATGTAATTTTAGAAAATTTATTCTCAATAACGGTTAATACAGTAACTCAGAAACAGCATTAAAATGAAAGCAAAATTTACACTTTAATTAGTTTTCCATTTTCTCACTTAAAAACATTTGATTTTCAAGGATTATGTAAATAAATCAATACTAATGAAACATGGTGGCTTACCAACATTTTCCTTAAATAAAACAAAGACAATGTATATTTCCATCAACAAATTTCATGCTAGACTAGGATGGGGAGGGAGGAGAGGAAACCTGACGGGCTTCTCACCAGTATGAAGAGTCTGACGTAAGTTAAGTTGTAATCCATGATTAAACGCCTTCCCACATTGATAAGGTTTCTTTCCAGAATGAATTCTCTGATGGTGCGAGAAGCTTGAATGATAGCTAAAGGCTTTCCCACATTCCTTACATTCATAGGGTTTCTCACCAGTATGAATTCTTTGATGTTGAATAAGGTGTGAATGAAGTCTAAAGGCCTTACCACATATCATGCATTCATGAGGTTTCTCACCAGTATGAATTCTCTGATGTCTTTTGAGGTGTGAACACTGTCTAAAAGTCTTCCCACATTCTTTACACTCATAGGGTTTCTCACCAGTATGAATCCTCTGATGTAGGGTTAGTTGTAAGCCATCACAAAACGCCTTCCCACATTCATGACATTCATAAGGTTTCTTGCCAGAATGAATTTTCTGATGATGCGAGAAGCTTGAGTGATAGCTAAAGGCCTTCCCACATTCCCGACATTCATAGGGTTTCTCACCAGTATGAATTCTCTGATGTATAGTAAGATGTGAGCGATGCCTAAAAGTCTTTCCACATTCTTTACATTCATAAGGTTTCTCACCAGTATGGAGTCGCAGATGTTCAGTAAGTTGAAAGCCACGAATAAAAGCTTTCCCACATTGCTTACATTCATAGGGTTTTTCACCAGTATGAAGTCTCTGATGTTGAGTAAGCTGTGATCGCTGTCTAAAGGCCTTCCCACATTCTTTACATTCATAAGGTTTCTCACCAGTGTGAATTCTTTGATGTAGAGTAAGTTCTGAGCCATAATTAAAGGCCTTCCCACATTCGTTACATTCATAGCGTTTTTCACCATTATGAATTCTTAGATGTTGTTTAAGTTGTGAGCAATGAACAAAGGCCTTCCAACATTCTTTACACTCATTGCATTTGTCACCATTTTGAATTGTCTGTTGTTTAAAAAGGCATGGTGTATTAACCATTTCCGTGCATTCTTTACATTCGGAAAGTTCTTTAGAATGAGTTCTTTTGTGGTGACTAAAATATAAATGGTAACTGAAGATTTTTCTACACTTTTTACATTCAGAGATTTTCTCTCTATCATAAAATTCTTGAGTGAGTAAAGTATGTTGGCTAAAAATGTGCATGTTTTCATGGTTAATCATAAGTTGTCTAAAATAACCCTCCTCTTGTCCCTGATGTTGCTCAAAATGACAGTTGCCTTCCCAGATATCTCTGAAAATTGATCTCTCAGGACTATGGCTTTTAAATTCCTCCATGTTAACCCACTGGAATAATTCTGTTTCATAAATATCACTTTTTGGAGGTAACTTCTGGGGCTCATCTCTGGATGCCAAGTCTGAAAGATAAGAAATACATTTTAACTCCTGATTTTGTACTATAAGAGAAATAAAATATCTATGGTAGCAATGAGAGATAACTGCAAATAATTCACATAATAAATAAAAGGCTTGGAGAACTCTTACGTGGGTAAAGGAGCACAGGGAAATGAGAGCACTCAAATGAAGGAGTTAATTAGGGAAATAAGTCAGTTCAATGGTGCTGAAATTTTGATCCGTCTCTGAATTACCTTGAGAGTTTGTTGCAATTATGGATGTTTAGGAAACATTCTAAATGAACTCAACCAGAATTTAAGAGAGTTGGTCTTAGAGTGAGGTCAACTGAGTCCGAGTCCATATGCTTAACACTATCAGGCCAAAGGTTTATGTGGCAGATTGTCAGCTGTTGCCAGATATCTATTTTCCTTTTTAAAAAATATCAATTGAACCCACGGCTTTTTATTTGAGAATAAAGCTGCCAATATAAACTCTGCATTTCCCAAGCTCCTTTACAGCTGGGAATCTCATGCAACTTGGGTTCTGCCTAAAGAAATACAGAAATATTATGTAATACCATCTGAGTTCTTCCCTTAAGAGTCAGGTGGCCCAAGCCCTATATTGCTTGTTCTCCCTCTTCCTCAACAAAGCTGATGGCAATATTGATTTGCTGTCATATCTGTCACATAATGGTTTTGCAGAGTAGGTACCTTTCCAGCTTGGATTTTAATGCAAGAGAAAATTAAATTTCTATGCCTGGGTTATAGACATTGTATCAAAAAAAGAAAATTTAAACATCTATATGGTTTCAATTACAATTGTTCTGGGTCTCTGTCACAAGCAGCTTAATCTACATACATACAAATACAGCTTCCCACGGAAATTTTAAAACTTCAGCTCCTTGTCATAAGAATACAAGGCTTCTGCTAACCAATATAATCTCATTTTGAGTTCAATTCCTTTTTATTCATTAGGCTATAACAAAATTAATCTGTCAACAACTAGGACATGCCAAAGCTGTTCCTATGTTAGAGCTTCATAGCCTCTTCCATGTGCTAAGAATCTTTTTGCCTAGATTTTTTGTAAAGCGGGCTTCATTTCATCCAAGTCTCAGAGTAAAAGTCACTTCCTCAAAAGTGTATCCCCGATAATATTACCTAATGGAGTCCTTCCTGAAGTACTACTGGAATTACATATTTATTTATTATTCATCTTTTTAATATTTGGCCAGGCATGGTGGCTCATACCTGTAATCCCAGAACTTTGTAAGGCCTAGGCAGGTAGATCACTTGAGGTCTGGCATTCGAGACCAGCCTGGCCAACATGGTGAAACCCTGTCTCTACTAAAAATACAAAAATTAGCTGGGTGTGGTGGCACGTGCCTGTAATGCCAGCTACTGGGGAGGCTGATGCAAGAGAATTCCTTGAACCGGGAGGTGGAGGTTGCAGTGAGCCAAGATCATGACACTGCACTCTAACCTGGGCAACAGAGTGAGACTCTGTCTCAAAAAAAAAAAAAAAAAAAAAAATTATATATATATATATGTGTGTGTGTGTGTGTGTGTATTTTTTTTTACCCATAAATCTACTCAAGGATAGAGAAATCACTATAAAACCAACCTTTACAATATAATAAGTATTCAATAATCAGTTGCTGAATAAATGAATTAAATTATTAAGGAAAAGGAATTAAGATGAAGAGAAACAATACAAAGATAACAGTTGACAATCATAATAATTTAATGCCCTTAAATTTGTAATAACTACTGAACATCTCTCCATGTTTCTATTCACTCCTACATCTACTGTACTGATTTTATATATAAACACATACGTGGCCGGGCGCGGTGGCTCAAGCCTGTAATCCCAGCACTTTGGGAGGCCGAGACGGGCGGATCACGAGGTCAGGAGATAGAGAGACCATCCTGGCTAACACGGTGAAACCCCGTCTCTACTAAAAAATACAAAAAACTAGCCAGGCGAGGTGGTGGGCGCCTGTAGTCCCAGCTACACGGGAGGCTGAGGCAGGAGAATGGCGTAAACCTGGGAGGCGGAGCTTGCAGTGAGATGAGATCCCGCCACTGCACTCCAGCCTGGGCCACAGAGCGAGGCTCCGTCTCAAAAAAAAAAAAAAAACACATACGTAAATAAACCATGTACTTGCTTATCTATAACAAGCCACTCCAACTGAGTGGCTTAAAACAGTAAGCCATTTATTATTACTATTACTACTGCTGTTGTAATTATTAGTGAAAACCAAGTCATGCTCTGTCACCCAGGTGAGAGTGGGTGCAGTGGTGCAATCACAGCTCACTGCAGGCCCGACCTCCTGAGCTCAAGAAATCCTCCTACCTCACTCAGCTTTTGGAGAAGCTGAGACTATAGGGGTGTGCCACTATGCCCTGCTAATTTTTAAATCTTTTTTTTTTTTCGTAAAGATCTCACTTTGTTGCCCAGGCCGGTCTTGAACCCCTGGTTTCAAGTGATTCTCCTGCCTCAGCCTCTCGAAGTGCTGAGATTATAGGCACGAGCCACCACACCAGACCCATTTATCATTATTGTCTTTCAGTCCCAAGGATTAACTGAGCTCAACCAGGCATTCCTTACTTGGTGTTTCTCCAGTGACAGTCACACATTGGTCAGGCTGGATCATTCCAATAGCTTCCTCACTCACATGTCTGGTACCAGACCTGAGGAAATATGTAAAGCTTGGGACTGTACCAGCTGTGATGCCTGGGGCTTTCTATCCTTATGTGGTCTCTCTACATGGTATGCCCAGCATAGCTGTTTCAAGGTAACAGATGCCCTCTTACCTGCAACTCAAGACTCCAAAAGCATATGGGAAATGCAGGGAGGGAGGGAGGGTATGTGAGCATATGCCAGGCACAAGCTGTCTACTTTTATGACCTAGCCTCAGAAATCACAAAGTATTTCTATTTGTTGGAAACAAGTCACTTAGAGCTATCCCATTTTCAAAGCAGGAAATTAGACTCCATTTTTTTTTTTTGGTGGGGGTGTTCGAGGACTGTCACAGAAATGGCAGACATGGTGTGTGTGTGTTTTTTGGTGGGGGAGGGGCACAGAGTCTTGTTCTGTAGCCCAGGCTGGAGTGCAATGGTGCGATCTCGGCTCACTGCAACCTCTGCCTCCTGGGTTCAAGCGATTCTCCTGCCTTGGCTTCCCAAGTAGTTGGGATTACAGGTGCCCACCACCATGCCCAGCTAATTCTTGTATTTTTAGTTGAGACAGGGTTTCACCATGCTGGCCAGGCTGGTCTTGAACTCCCGACCTCAGGCGATCCACCCACCTTGGCTTCCCAAAGTGCTGGGATTAAAGGCATGAGCCACCGTGCCCAGCCAGCAGACATATTTAAAACAACCACTACACTCACACACATACTTATTAAGCACAGATATAAGCACAAACACACACTTTTCTACATCACTTCCTTACAGAAGACGTTTTTACTAAGTGAACATACCTGTGAAACCACCACTTAACCAAGAAACAGAACATTACCAGGAACCCAGAGCCCTCAAGGCGCTTCCCAGGCTTACCTTACCCACCAAAGGTAAGCAGTATCCTGCCTTCTTACACCATGCAGTGGGTTTTTGTCTATTTCTGTATTTCAAATAAATGGAATGATATAGGATGTACTTTTCTTCTCCAGCACCTTCTGTCCAGTACCATGTGTGAAGTTCATTTGTAATATTACATACAGTAGTAGTTTCTTCATTTTCATTACTATATAGCAGCAGTACGCAATGGGTGGTCCCAGGACCATGGAGGGTACCTGAGACCCTATCAGGAAGTCTATAAGGTCAAAGCTATTTTCATACTAATCCTGAGACATTTGTCTTTTTTACTTATTCTCTTACCACTGGACAGGGGAGTTTCTGAGAGACTACTAGAAGTGTGATAACATCACATTCTGAAATCTAACAGAATGCGTGATTATGTGTTTCTGTGTGTTCTAGAAGTTTCTATAGTAGGTTTGGGGAATAAACATGTATGTTCAGAGATAGTTTTGTTATCAGTACTTCTACTGCGCTCTTAAAAACTGTATTTTATACCTGCTTTTATGTCTGTAGCCTCATTATTGTCCAAGAAATTATTGTGAAATTCCCAAGTTTTCCATGTACCTACATGGAAACAAAAGAATACTTCATTTTAGAATAATATTTTATTATACAATAAAAAGAGAATATATATTTCTTTTTTTTTTAATAGACAGAGTTTCGCTCTTGTTCCCCAAGCTGGAGTGCAATGACACAATCTCGGCTCACTGCAACCTCCGCCTGCCAGGTTCAAGCAATTCTCCTGCCTCAGCCTCCCGAGTAGCTGGGATTACAGGCACGCACCACTACGCCTGGCTAATTTTTTGTATTTTTAGTAGAAATGAGGTTTCACCATGTTAGCCAGGCTGGTCTCAAACTCCTGACCTCAGGTGATCCGCCTACCTAATCCTCCCAGAGTGCTGGGATTACAGGTGTGAGCCACCGCGCCTGGCCGAGAATATGTATTTCTTATACTTGAAAATGGATGTTGGGTTTTGTTTGTTTGTTTGTTTTTTTGGAGACAGAGTATATGTTTTTTGGTGGGAAAGGGGCACGGAGTCTTGCTCTGTGCCCCAGGCTGGAGTGCAATGGTGTGACCTTGGCTCACTGCAAGCTCCACTTCCTGGATTCAAGCAATTCTCCTGCCTCAGCCTCCCAAGTAGCTGGGATTACAGGCGTAAACCACCGTATCCGGCTAATTTTTGTATTTTTAGTAGAGATGGGGTTTCACCGTGTTGGCCAGGCTGGTCTTGAACTCCTGACCTCAGGTGATCCCCCCGCCTCAGTCTCCCAAAGGGCTGGGATTACAGGTGTAAGCCACCGTGCCTTGCCAGTTTGTTTGTTTTGAGATGGAGTCTTGCTCTGTCACCCAGGCTGGAGTACAGTGGCACAGTCTCAGCTCACTGCAGCCTCTGCCTCCCAGGTTCAAGCAGTTCTCTGCCTCGGCCTCCTAAGTAGGTGGGATAACAGGCACATGCCGCCACATTGGCTAATTTTTTTTGTATTTTTAGTAGAGATGGGGTTTCACCATGTTGGTCAGGCTGGTCTCGAACTCCTGGCCTCAAGTGATTCGTCTGCCTCGTCCTCCCAAAGTGCTGGGATTAGAGGTGTGAGCCACCGTGCCTGGCCAGGTTTCTCTATTTTTTGAGACTACTTTTATTATTAAAATATTTGGCCTGGTGTGGTGGCTCACATCTGTAATCCCAGCACTTCGGGAGGCTGAGATGGGAGGATTACTTGAGTCGAGGAGTTTGAGACCAGCCTGGGCAACATAGCGAGACCTTTTCTCTACTAAAAAAAATAAAAAGAGAAATATCGTTGGGTGTAGTGGTGTGTACACCACCTGTGGTCCCAGCTACTTGGGAGGCTGAGGTGGGAAGACTGCTTGAGCCTGAGAGGTCCAGGCTGCAGTGAGCTGTGATCACTCCACTGTACTCCAGCATGGGTAAGAGTGAGAGACCCCATCTCAACAACAAAAAAGTTCTGTTGTACAACCCTGTGCCCACACTTGACAACACCGCATTGTGCACCTAAAAATCCACTAAGAGGGTAGATCTCATGTAAAGTATTTACAACACAAGAAAAATTTTAAAAGTGTTTACATATTTAATAAATACTTTTTTCTATTTCTTAGCACATAGTACCAATGTAAATAAATATTTATGATAGCAATCATAGTTAAATTTCTCAATATTTGTTTTTGAGAAACACTTTATTATTTTTTGAGAAACACTTTATTTCCCACTTTGAGGGAAAATTGACAGTTAAAATTTATATATTCAAAGCATACAACCTGATGATTTGACATACATTTACATTGTGAAATAATCACCACAGTCAGCTAACTAACATATTCATCACCTTATGTAGTTAACTGTTTTCTTTTTTTTCTGGTGAGAACATTTAACATGTACCCTCAGCACATTTCAAGTATACAATACAGTACTGCCAACTAGAGTCATAATATATTATGTCAGATCTTCAGAATCCACTCATCTTGCACAACTGAAGCTTTATTTTATTTATTTATTTATTTATTTTTGAGATGGCGTCTCGCTCTGTTGACTAGGCTGGGGCGAACTCAGCTCACCGCAACCTCCGCCGCCCGGGTTCAAGTGATTTTCCTGCCTCAGCCTCTTGAGTAGCTGGGACTACAAGCATGAGCCACCATGCCTGGCTAATTTTTGTATTTTCAGTAGAGGCAGGGTTTCACTATGTTGGCCAGGCTGGTCTGGAACTCCTGACCTCGTGATCCACCTGCCTCGGCCTCCCAAAGTGCTGGGATTACAGGCGTATGTACCCGGCCGCATAACCGAAGCTTTATACTTTTCGACCAACATCTCCCCATTTCCCCTACCCGTCTCATTATTCTGTTCTCTGCTTCTATGACTTTGGCTATTTTTGGTGCTTTCCTTTTTTTTTTTTTTTTTTTGAAATGGAGTCTCACTCTCACCCAGGCCGGAGTGCAGTGGCATGATCTCAGCTCACTTCAACCTCCACCTCCTGAGTTCAAGTGATTCTCCTGCCTCAGCCTCCTGAGTTGCTGAAACTACAGGCACACCCCACCATGCCCGGCTAATTTTTGTATTTTTAGTAGAGATGGGGTTTCACCATGTTGGCCAGGCTGGTCTCAAACTCCTGACCTGAAGTGATCTACCCGCCTCGACCTCCCAAAGTGCTGGGATTACAGGCGTGAGCCACCGTGCCTGGCAAGATTTTGACTATTTTGTTGTTGTTGTTGCTGCTGCTGTTGTTGTTTGAGACGGAATTTCACTCTTGCTGCCCAGGCTGGAGTGCAATGGTATGATCTCAGCTCACTGCAACTTCCGCCTCCCGGGTTCAAGCGATTCTCCTGCCTCAGCCTCCCGAGTAGCTGGGAATACAGGTGTGCGCCACCACGCCCGGCTAATTTTTTGTATTTTTAGTGGAAACGGGGTTTCACCATGTTGGCCAGGCTGGTCTGGAACTCCTGACCTCGTGATCCACCTGCCTCGGCCTCCCAAAGTGCTGGGATTACAGACGTGAGCCACCGTGCCCGGCCCAC